CATCATCTTCACAAGTCCTTCTGATCAGTAGCTAGTTTATTTGTGTGTGCTGTCACTACTTTGAGGATGTTGTGAATAATTTTGTCAAATATTTTAGCTAGAGTACAAAGATGTAGTTTAGGGAAGAATTTTCGTGGTTTAGTCTGCTTGTTCTGTGAATATCCCTTTAACTACGTGTGCATGCTAATTGTTTTGATTCCGTGTGGTGATTATCGTAAGTCCCGTTGTTTAGTTTGCTTGAGGACAAGCAAAAGTTTAAGTGTGGGGGAATCTGATAAGTCCGTATTTAGACACGCATTTGATGCGTGTTGGGATCGGTTTTTGATGGTTTTCCTAGCTTTAAGGCGTTACAAGTCTCAATTTTGGCTCAAGTTGTGTTTAGCAGGCGTTGGATCAAGTTTCGTTACAATTGGAGTTGAGTTGAAGAAGTTGGAGTCCGGCAATCGGCGCTTGAGAGGCATTCGGGAAGGATTTGAAGGCGTTTAAGAAAGATTTGAGAGTTTTGGAGGCCACCGGGAGGTTCACGGCGAAGATTTGATGAATAAACGGCCTTTGGATTGATTAAAGAAGTATCCGGGAGCAAACGGGGAAGGAAATAGCAAGAAAATGGTTCAAGAGCATTCCGCGCGCCCCGCGGTGCGGTTCCGCACGCCCCGCGGACGATTCTGAGAGCAAATAGTTGAGGGGTCTGAACCGCACACCGCGCGGCCGAAACCGCACACCGCGCGGTCCAGAAACAGCCCCCAGAAGTACCCGCGCGGTTGCATAGTGCGGCGCCCGCACACCGCGCGGGCGGAGCGAAAGTCGAAAGACGGAAAAACGCGCGCGTGACCGCGCGGTGACCCGCACGGCGTGCGGACGACCGCGCGGCCTGATTTTCGGCCTGTTTTCGGATTTTTCTATAAATAGACCCCTGTTTTGCCTGTTTTTGACTGACGAGCTTAGAGAGATAAACCCTATTTCGATTTTTGAGAGCTTTTCAAGCCTTGTTCTTCAAGATTAAGGGATTCTTTGTAAGTTCTATCTTTTTAATTAATGACAATTATTTCTATTCATCTCAATTCTGTTGATTCTTCAATTATGAATTGTGAGTAGTTTAATTAGGGATTTGGGATTGATGAAGGGGTTAATCGTGATTGATGGCTAGATTCTTGTCGGTTTAATTGCATGAATGCCGTTTAATTTGTGTTTGAATAATTTAACTGATATCTCTTGTAACCTAGACTGCAGCTAGAATTACAATTGCATGTAGAATGAATTAAGAGAGATCTAATTTGTTCTAGGACACATTCACACACACTTAATCATTCGCTAAGAGATTAGTAGCGATTAAGGGGCCGTAAGCTCGCTCGTCTTGGCAATAATTTAGGATCCTGTCGCATGAGAGATCAGCCTGGTCCCCTAAATTATTGTACTCTACGCCGCGAGAGCGGTAAGAACTTAGTAATGATTAGCTAGGCTCAATTAAATTAAATTCATGTAATTAGGCCTGATCTGCCAGAAACCTGGTTACCCCGGAATCAATCCCTGTTCCCTTGGTCGTTAATTAGAAAGAAACCAAACATTTATTTTATTCGCTCATTCGCATTAGTTTAATTTAATTTTTATTCAATCAATCAATCTCGCACACTTGCATTTTATTTTATTTATTTTTATTCGCTGAATTTAGTTAATCTTTAATTCCCCCTTTGTCCGTCCCTGTGGAGACGATACTCGTACTTTCAACCACTTTACTACATCATTTTTAAGTGCGAGAAAATTACACATCAATCTGCTTGCTGGAATAATAAATAATATAAGCCTCATGTTCCGGGAAAAAAACAGGCCAAGTGTAATGCCAAATGGTCATTATACATGGATTTGTCTCCTAAGTAATTTTTTGCTTTTTATCTTTTTGAAAATTACTATGTATTATTACATCACTTATGCCCATGATTCTAACTCAATTAGCTCTTTTGTATACAATCACATTGTAATATGGTAATTAATACTCTTATGTCTACATATTTTTTTTTTGTCAATTACTAAACTACAAAATTATTTCCATATACAATCTCTCATATCATTTTTCACTAACCGAATTAGATCAAATGTCTACATCAAGTAAAAAATTATTGGGCATTTGGAAAATCGCGCAACGCGCGTCACAAAACTAGTTATATTCATATTGGTCTAGATGATATTTATATGATGGTGTATATTCATATTGGGTCATAGAAAAGGCATAGAGTTGGCCGGTTGGTCAAACAAGACTCATATACCAGTATTAGTATTTCGTCAGATAATAGTTTGTAATAAATTACGAAGGCTTCTAAATTAAAGTTGGGGATATATATTTTATTTAGCCCAATAAAATAAAATACAATTAAAACAGTCCGAAAAATATAATTTTTAAGGCCGAGTGTACACTTCGGGGCGCAATGGGATGATCTCCTGTTGGAAAAATGTGTTGGAAATTGCATTAAATGGTCATTTTGGGGCAATATTTTGAGTGGGGTCCACTTCCGATTTGAGTCGGGTCAAAGTGGTTTCAGATTGTCCTTGTTAAGGTCTACAATTCGATATATGGTACGCTCAAAACGGATAACGGGTGAATGAGAAATTGATTCTCGAAATTCACTCGTTAGAATGGAGAAAACTAGGAAAATGATGGGTTTCTAGTGTGGTTTTCCCCACACTGGAAAACCCAAGGGAATTTGAACCCTTTATAAAGGGAAACCCCCCTTAAGGAGTTAAGATTCCTTAGGGTAAAGGCTCTCTCCGCGCGCGGGGGGGGGGGGGGGGGGGGGGGTGCGAATCAAATCCCGAAATCGGAGAAACAAAAAGCCCGACTTGCGTACGCGGGCGACCTGTGGACACGCATGTCGTCCGAAAATTCCATCTTTTAAAGATAAACGTTAATTTTTGTTCCTCCGGTTATTCCTATTTTTGCTCCGTGCGAGCAGTTGGCTCCGCAGCAGGCTACTGCTCCGTGCGAGCAGTTGGCTCCACAGCAGGCAGCTGCTGGGACGTTACAACGCCATAAATGCCCAACGTTCCTTTGCAATAAATGGACGGTTTTTTGGATGAATCAATGCCAACGAGCTGGACATTGATTGCCAACGTTCATATCCATTAAACCTCCATTAACACACCTCCAAATCCTTCCTATAAGTACCCGGCAGGTGATTTGCAACAACACACCACTCAAAAACGTACTCACGCATTTTTGAGCTCTACAAAAACACCTCCAGTTTCCGAAATTCCTTCTGTGTTCTAAGCTTTGTTCTCGTTCGTTGGAACTTTAGTTTGAGTGCTAAACTACTGTTCGAAGTCATCGTATCCTGGCCGAGAAACGATCGTTGCAACGCTCCTAGCGCCCCGGGAGACAACGAATACGTTTTAAGGAAATCGTGTGTGGCACGAGCTTTGGCTTATTCTGCTTCATCTCATTTCTTGTTTTTCCTTTAAGTCATTTTATTTAATTAATTTTTATCAATTAATTTTCTTTGTTTTTCGAAACACACCCAACATCTCCCACATGAGTGGGGGCCACCGCACATTTTTGTGTGCTCAAAATGAAAAGAAGGACGAATGTTTGGCGATACGAAAGGATGGAGGGTGTTGAGTTGAGGAATTTGGCATCTAGGTGGGTCATTGGGGGCCTCCTCCCTCCCTTATTGCTCAATTGAGATAAAGGAAGTCTCTATCCCTTTCCCCCCTCACTTAGCTGGTAGCGATGGGGGAGCTTCAATGGGGTAATGATAGAGGTGTTTACGAAGGGTATTGACGGAGGAGGGTGGAGGCGAGGGAATGAAGGGTTGCAGAAGGGGAGAGAGAGACGCTGACAAAGGAGAGAGAGGGATGTGAGGTGCGAATAGAAAAAGTGTAGGTCGGGGTAGGGTGATATGTTAGGTTAGAAATGGAATAGATAGATGTGATGTGGGCATAAAATAATAAATGAATTGAGGGGACAACATGAAAAGGAGATGTGGTACTTGTTTGAGGGACCATCGAAGTAATAAACAATGGATGTAGAGGGATAGTAAAAAAAAAGGATGACACCCCATCCCTGAGGGCCCCCCAACACCGACCGGACGGCATGATGGGAGGATGTAAATTGGACTATAATCACAATCTGACAGATACAGAGTGAGGCTCTGTCCCTGGTACTTGCAGAAGCCCTATGCATTTTTCAGCATAGTAACCCCTCATCGCAGTTGCCGGGATTCGAACCCGAGACCTAACCCTTGTGGCACTCTCTCGCTACCAGTTGAGCTGCGCCCACCGGTATGTAGAGGGATAGTAATTTCCATACCTAGTAGCCTACTGAACAAAGAAACAATAGCACCGGTATCAACAAGATGATACATTTTTTCTCTTAACTCCGCAATCACAAGTGATGCAGCTTTGGTCTAACCGTGGGTCAAATGCATAAATGATACCTTAACTATTAATAATGTTGCATTTTAGTAGTTTAACTCTTAAATGAATCACAACGGTACCTTAATTATACATAAATAAATGCTTTGAAGTGAGTTTTTATTCAAATTTGTGATAAAAAAATCACATGTGACGACCCGAATGATATGTGTAAAGTCTACTTTACCTTATTTTTGTCCATATGATTACTATAGGGTGACTTTACACATGAAATTTTGACCATCGTTAGATTTTTTGGTCGAAAATTTGAATAAAATCTCAATTCTAAACATTTAGAGGCCGTTTGGCAACACTGTTTTTCGGCTTATCAGGTTATCAACCAACTTTTTTACCAAACACGTAACTTTTACTTTTGCGTGCTGAATTGTGTAATAAACAGAAAAAGTAACTTTTACCAATTCAATCATGTTACTTTTCTGGTTGTATTAGCTGGAGTTACTATAATCATTTTAGTTATTTTTACATATAATTTTTTTCTTTTTTATTAATAAAATATATTTAAATTTTTTTTTATTAAAACTTCAATAAAAAGTAACTTTTACCAATTAATAATTTTATTTTGATTCAAGTTATGGTACAAAGCATTTGAACAACCGAAGCAGGCACGCAGTACACAGCGACGAACTCACGACGCTCGAAGGCCGCCGTCCTCCCGACCGGCGCCCGACCCTGACCCTTCTCAGTGGACTGTGGATTAGACCTGGCGACATGCGGTTCTGATTCCTTCCCTTTGACCCCTACCCTTCCCCTTGCCGACTGCCGTTCCTCGGTTCTTGGACTCCTGGTATCCTGCTAATCTGCTATTCTGCTAATATAATTATTAGTTTAATGGTTCAGAATGATAGTTTTCAATTGTTGTGAGTTGATTAGTTTCTCTATGTTTATTACAGATTACTTGATTTTCTTGTCTAATTGATTTGAGTAGTGGCGTAGTGCTGTAGTGCTTCTGTTGGTTTGTAGATATCACTAATTAAGTTATTAGAATAGTTCACAGTTTTGATTTAATGAACTTTAAACAGTTTAAAGTGAGTATTGAATTTATAAAAATTCTTAAAGTAATAAAATTTGGAATGTGTGTTAATGTTATACAGAGTAATTGGTTAGATAAAATTTAATTTTGAATTACTATTAAATTTGTAAATTTAATTTATTTCAAGGCTTAGTAAAATGGTTGACTCTGAATAGGAGAAAGAAAAAAGAGGAGAAAACTAATAGTGTTATTATTATTATGAATGTTAAGTTTAGTTAAAGAAGAGTTTAAACCGTGATTCTACTATGTTTCATTTAATGAATTTAAGTCTTTTCTTTATTACAAAGGACTTGAAATATTATTACTTTTATTATTGTGCATGTTAGTTTAGACTTTAGACAAAATAAGTTTTTTAATTCTTTTTATTAAGCTAATTTTAAATTCTCCGCCCCTAGGCCTTCGATTAGAAAGTCCTTGAGTATATTGGATTTATCAATGTGTGGTTTTGCTTTTCCTATATGTGTGTGACTGTGATGTATGGTAGTTCTGCTTATTAATATACTGCTTACAATCGGGCAATTGAGATTAAATAATCCACTTTTTTCTTTTGTTAGCAAAGTTTGAGGTTTTTACCAGGTCTTTTCGTTTATTTCAACACATTTATCCATAAGTAACGTTTAGGTGTTCTTTCAGTCTCCATGACTCCCGAAATAGGACTAAACAAGTTTTGAAATTCAAAATAGGACTTTTATGTTTTTGTTCCCGAAATAGAAGTAACATGGTAGTATTTATTGTCATCTTGTTGTCATTACTTCCAAATAGTTGCAATACCGGGTATTAAACATGGCAATATTTGCTATCATTAATGACAATATTTTCAATCATGCCAGTATTTTACTATTTTTCAATCATGACAGTAATGACTCCTATTTTGGGAAGAAAAACATAGCAATGCTATTTGGAATCCAAGTTGCTAATACACTTTGTGTAAATATGTTACCAAATTAGGTAAAAGTGCTGATACTGAAAGAAACTTTTGCCATTTTATTTCATATGCATGTAAAATGGATTTTAGCAAGGACAGATGTTTGGTTTATTAATTTCGTATTTGTTGGGCATAAGCACGACCTCATATAATGGTTTTTTGTTTTCATTAGTGAAAATTTAATTTTTAGTTCGACGTTTCCTTGTTGTACCCATATCTTGATATATTGATATTAGAGTTTCCCTCCCCGTTTCCGTTTCCGTCCCGGTGCTACTTAGATTATAATTAATGTTAGATGGGTGTGTTTTTGGTTCTGTGAGATGTTTTTTAAAGAATAATGACTGTTCATGAGGTCTGAGAGGAAATATATTTCATTTTACATTGACTTTTAATCAGTTCTTGCAGTCTCTTAAGGTTGGTTCTAGGGTTTAATTCATCTTTTCCTATGGTCTTTACTTAGTGGGTGGGGTTAAGCCTTTGTAGAAGAGTAGAAGACTAGGTCCTAGTGCATGAGAACTATTTATTGATATTCATTCCTATTGTTGTTAAATTGCGAAAAGAGGGTGAGAACTGAGAACTGATAGGAAACTTTTAGGATGCGGTGTTTTCTGGCCTTCAGTTTGCGTCTTTGCGATTTATTAATTAAGAAAACAAAGGGGAAACCAATGATTTATTTTCGCTACTCTACACATGTCTACATTAGTTGGTTTTACCTTTATTTTTTCTCATGGAAATATTATTTCTGGTACCTAATATGATTAGACATTTGTTTACAAAAATAGTAAAATAGTATATGTATACTAGTCCCGAAGAGCTGAGCTTCGTAAGAAAGTAATACATAACTCCTAAATAGTAGTAGTAGTAGTACTAAAAGTAACACTCTTTGTTCCCTGCGCGCAGCCCTAGCACCAGAAAAGTCCACATCTGTTCAAAGTTTTGCATATTAAAATATCTGCATTCCTAAATTTCAGGCATGGAAGTTGCACACTGCTATCTTGATGGCAATGCAGATGCTGTAGAGTTCTGCCCACAAGAGTCTTTTCAACATGTCTTAGCAGCCTCCACGTACACACTGCAAGAGGGAGATCATCCGAGTCGTTCCGGTAGTATAAGCCTCTTTGATGTCAATGTTGAAGAGGGTCGTCTCGATTTGATGCACCGAGCAGAAAGAACAGGCATTTTTGACATAAGATGGAGTCCTGATGGCGGAAATTTGAGCCCTTTGCTTGCCCAAGCTGATGCTGATGGTTTTGTCCGAGTGCACCAGCTTGAATGTTCATCTGTTGGATCAGAGGTCCAAGGTATTTTTTTTAAACACCTTCAGGGGTAAAACACAAAGAAATGAGCTTTTACTCGACTATGCTACTTTGTAATAGCATGGGATGATAGCTTTGTGCAAACTGCAAAGAGGAAACAAGTAGCTTTTATGATGTTTAAAGACAATTGGTTTTATAAATTTCAACAGAATTGTATCTGCATTTTTAAATAAGTCATGGGTAGGTTGTCCATTTGTTCTTTTATATTCTGCTAATCAAGCATTTCAATTGAGCTAATGTGATTTTTTTCGAACTCTATGTGTTGTCCAAGAGAGAGCTGGGGATGTCAGAGGAAAGGTTATAATTTTGTTCTATTAATTGAACTGAATAAAATTACGCAAGAGTGAAACTAAATAACTCAAAGGCTGGCTTTGGCTTGATGGCAAATAACATTTCGGAAATAAACTCCATCTATTTCATTGTAACATTTGCAGACCTTTGAAGCGTTCCTTCTTAACCTCCAAGCCTCCAAGGTTCTGAGGTTCCCGATTCTCATACACAATAGCACACTAATAAACCTCTCCTGCATTATTGTTAAAATGAAATGAGTAGAGTTCAAATGTCTACACAAAGCTTAGCAACAGTTATCAGTGTAACACTGCAGTTTCCTTTTACAGTTAGTTTCAAGTCTGGTTAAAACCTCTCCTTCGTGTTACATATAAAAAAGGTGCATTTATTTCACATAATTGTTTAGAAAATGTCCATATGATTGGCAAATAACAAAAGTGCAAGCTTTCATGAAAGGAAATACATATGTTAATAAAATGTGATCCTTGCAGGGAATTATTTGGAAGAGATCGCTCATGATCATGTTAGTTCTTCCATGTGCTTAAATGTAGATTGGAACCCTTTAGCCACATCCATCACTGTCGGCCTATCAGACGGTTCAATCTCAATACTTTCACTCCATGAGTCTCAACTAAAAACCCAAGGATGGACAGCACATGATTTTGAGGTTTGGACTACCTCCTTTGACATTCATCAACCACAACTTGTGTACTCTGGCTCAGATGACTGCAAATTCTGTTGCTGGGATTTGCGACACGATACATCTAAGTCTCCAATTTTCAAGAACACAAAAACCCACACAATGGGCGTCTGTTGCATCACAAAGAACCCAAATGATCCCAATGCCTTATTCACAGGTAGCTACGATGAACATCTCAGGATATGGGATGTTAGATCAATGTCGAGGCCTGTAAGTGAGCGATCAATCTCCTTGGGCGGTGGAGTGTGGAGAATCAAGTTTCATCCCACTATACCTGACTTAGTTTTGACAGCATGTATGCACAATGGGTTTAGAGTTGTTGATGTAAAAGGAGATGAACCTAAAGTAGTTGAAACATACAAAGAACATGCATCGCTTGCGTACGGAGCAGATTGGCAAAAGGGATCTTTTTGCATAGAGAGGAAAAATACGAATGCAGTAGCGGCCACATGCTCATTCTATGACCGGCTCCTTCGTATATGGAAGCCGAAGGCTGAAGCTTTTTAATGTTGAACCCTCAAAATCAAACATGTTCAATATAGGCACTTATTTTCAGCATTTACTAGGACCAAGATTGTGCTTCTCGTGGTTATAAAAGAATTCCAAGTGTAAGTGTGATTTTTTGTCCATTACGTGTGTTCTATTTATTGTGATCCTGTCCTGATTATAAGCACCATAGGCCCACTAGATTCAGGGCGTATACTTTCTTATGTGGATCAGTGGATATTCTACATGGTGCATGAGAAGAATGATGAATTTCACACCACACAATTTTATAAACATTGAAGACAGAACAAATGTACTTCTTCAACAGTAGCTCTAATCTATTCCAACAACACTGCATTAGAAAGAGTTATCTAATCACATTCTGCAATAAAATCATGGATCATCTCCATTCTCCAGTAACAGAGATCTTAAGTGGGGCTGTATGCATATCCAAATACCCTAGGGGATACCGGAATGCCACCAGAGAAATTCAAGTTCTACCCCTTTTTTTTTTGGGAAAATGGAACTAATAATCCAACCTTTTAACGGTCTTCTTATAATAATCTCACAGATCGTAATCCAAGAGTAATCCAACCTTTAAACCTCATCTTCATTCACTGGTCATTGATCGGTTGATGACATGCTATTCCAAGTTAGTTTATTTTCTTTCCTAAACATTAAACCATAAATCTTACCTTTCACAAATCTTCTCTCAATGGTCCCACATATCATTTTTCTTTTTTCTCCCTAAAACTTTTCCATTTTTTTTTATCATCTTGACCCTTTATTCGCTAAGAGATTGGATTATTAGTTTCAAATGTTCATATTTTTTGGACGCCCCAAAAAGAAAGCGTATCTTACAAAATGGGACATAGGGAGTAAGAGAGTGTTTGTAATTGATTCTGCTTATGTTTTTTTGTAAAAGTAGAAGTTGGTCTCTCACATCTTTTAAAAAAGGGAGATTTCCCAAAAATATGAGTAAATGAATTTTGGAATTCCAAAATAGGACAACTATATTTTTATTTTTGAAATAGGACTAACATGGTAGTAATTACTGCCATCTAGGCGTGACGGCCAAATAGCTGCAGTACAGTGCATTTAACATGGTAGTATTTATTATAATTAATGACAATATTTTTCATACATGACAGTAACAATTCCTATTTAAAGAAGAAAATTTTAATAATCCTAATTTGCACTTTTACCTAAACACTCCAATACCTGTGCGACCATTTCGCACGGTACGAGGGCACTTGACTCAACCACCGACGCCCAACAACGTCTTGACCCCCATCCAATTTTTGGGCCAATACCCCCTTCGTACTACCAAAAAACGACCAAGAGAAGTAATAGACTTAGAGAGTAAATATGCAATCACTATTTAGCTATTTGAACAATTGAATAGAGAGCAGAAGCAATTTTAAAAAATATATCCAAACACCCGCTAACTTTTATATAGGCTTTTGGGCCAAGTTTTAATCACCAAAACATATCAAGAAAGTCTATTCTAAGCCATGGGCCAAGTATTATACTCCGTAGGCAAATGGACGAAGCCCTAATCGTGGTGTTGGCCCTATATAGTGACGTGCTATGTGGCCAGAAGTCAACAAATCAGGGTTCCATTCATATTCCCATTGATGTGTGGCCATCACCTTGAAATTTCTGGTTTAGATATACGAAGTACGCATTGTACATCTTAGTCCGATTGATCTACTCTCTTTCTTTTTCAATTAAAGCATGGCGGGTGTGATGTTTTCAAGTGTTTTAGCTGAGCATCGTTCAATTGATTCAAGTCTGTGTCATATAGTTTTGAATTGATTTACTGCATTGATTTGATTCTTAGGCAACAAATTAGAGTCTCTTAAACGCTTTGACTATGGCGTTTTAAGCGCTGTACGTTGCCAAAATGAAAACGGTAGTGAGATTCTGGCTCGCGTTTTACCGATCCATAAAACGTGAGCATTCATAATCTTCCAACATTTTTTTCCCTGGGAAAATTTGTACCATTAAATGTACAACGCTGTACGTTGCGGATCTACCTTTGGTATAATTTGACGTGGGGAGGATGATGAAAAAAATCAGACGGATTCCCTATGAATTCATCATGATTACAACAACCAGCTACTTCTGACTCCCCAAGAATTTTTCTCCAGATCTTCTTTTTTCGAACCCAGTGTGTTTATCTTATATGGAATGGTCTAAATATGATGGCCGTTGATGCTATAAAATATTTGCTACTCTTGATTGGAAATTCCACATGATGATATTTTCCACCAAGATCTCTGAGGCCTCGTTGAAATTCTTTGTAGAATCTTTCTGTGTTGTACTATACAGATGTTATGTTTAGATGAATATTTCTCCAAAATCTTGCAATCTAGTTCACAATACAAATCCTTTCTACCAAATCCTGTATGTTTTACACAGCCCACTGTCCAATGCAGTACTATATCTGAATGTGGCATGAATGATGATTCGATTAGATGAGTGAGGAGTTTTTACTTCTCTGATCAAACTTACGAGGCTTATTGATATTCTGACATGCCATCTACCAGAAGTTTTTTCCAACGATAAAGGGCTTTCCTTGATGCAGTTTTCGAATTTAAATTTTACGCATTGGACGATCAGGCGGGCAGTGGTGAGGCCGGCTCGAGATCAGCACAAGTGTGGATCTTAAGTGCTTATGGACGGTCAAGTGCTGCTCCGATGATTCAACAGTGGCACTTAACAAAATGAACATAAGCTAAATTCATTCATTTGCTACCTTGTCTTTCAAGTCTTTCTTGTAATTGTCATACAGATGGGCTATCCGTGTTGTGGCTTACATTTATGCTATTAAAAAAATCCAGTTTCCTTCGAACTCGTCTACATGGAATATCGTTTTAGCGTAGTGATAATTTTAAATTTTGAAATTACTTCCTCAATGAATTTGACATTGAAGACAGTGAATGTGAGGTTTAATATCATGTGCATCAAAATTTTCTTAAACAAAGTAAATTATAACTTAGGCAAATGCAAAACGGCAAAAAGTTGGTTCTTTATTTCTTGCAGTAGTTTGATTTCTACTAATTTTAATTCTAATTATATTTAACTAGATTCTCACCCGGGCATGGGACAAAATTTTAATAAATTTATGTAAATTTTACATTAATAGTGAATAACAACATAAAAATGATAAAATTATAATTTATAAAATGGTGAATACAGAATTGAGGTACTTATAATGTTAATGTTTATCAAGTGCCAAGAGCACATGAAAATGTAGACATTATAATGAGGGGGAAGTTACAAATTTTGGTTGCTTACAACCTTAAGGGTATGATCAATTTGTTAACTCTAAGAAAACACGACCTTCCATATCACGGGATCACCTATTCACCTGCACCGAATGATGAATGGTAAATATAAAAAATATAGGGGTTTATTAATAAATATTTATAGACATAATTTTTTTTAAATAATTATGTACCATGTCTAAGAAACATAATTCTTCTTTAAAAGAATACATATAAACATCTCTAATAAAGTTAGAAGTATCTATTCCTGGCCACGTTTAGCATTCATCAAGTTGATTTCAACTTTCAAGCCTTGAAATCAAAAGTAAACAACGTGGATATAGAACAAAAAAAAGAATTAAATCAATTAATGATTAAATAATAAAGATAAAACATGTCATTGCCAATATGGAGTAATATATTTCCCCATTCTTCCTTTCTAAAAGTCGGTTTATTCGAGTTTCAGAAGTTCAATTCATATACTCCCTCCTTCCTATAATGGTTGTCCACTTTCAATTTAGTACGATTATTAATAAATTGGTTGAAAAGTAAAAGTTGTGGTTGAGATTTGAGTAGAATAAAGTGAATTAATAAGAACCATATATTTCATACCAAAAAAGGAAACAAGACATTCATTTTGGGACAACTCAAAAAGGAAAGTAGGACAACCAAAATGGGACGGAGGGAGTAAGTATCACGGTAAATTCCAACATAGCAACATAGCAAAACCCCAAATACAAATATATAGACAATTAGAAAACTTAAAAAGAGTAGATATCACTATTCAAACCTCTAAATCAGAGAACGTGATATTAGAAAGATATCACATTCTTTCTAATATGATTTTGAATTGAGAAGACATGGATTGTTTTCTATATAAGCTTTAGTTGTTGTTTAGATCCTCTTTTTGACTCATGTTTTCTCCTTTCAACTCATGTTCTCTACTTGATTTTAATTTGGTTATTTAATGTCCCAATGTGCTATTATTGTTCTCTCAAGTGTGCTTTGAATTTTCATATAAATCTTCTTACAAGCAACTCTACACCCTAGTTAGTTAAATACGGTACGGGAATTAAACGGGGTTTAATACGTACGCGTTTTATTTGGTAACATAAATGAAAAAATGGTCAAAAATTCGTTGAAAAAAACGTTGACTTTTAAAAAACGTGTACGTGTATAATACGATATCTGTTACAAAAATTCGGACTAAAAATACGGGATATTATTTTGAACATTTAAATTATATACTTCACAAAATCACATATACAGTGAAAAGAAATAAAAGTATATGCATACTCAAGTAGCAAACCCCATTATTACATAAAAGAATAATCTGTAATTGCATAAATCGATGACAAACATTAAAAATAGTAATTAATTCAAAGACATAATTTTGCAAACTAATGTTAAAAAAATGAGGCATAATAACAATAGAATGAGACTAAGTTAAAATCATTATCTTTATTTGATCATCAAATAACACTCAAGTTAAACTCATCATTTTCATCAAGATGACAAATGACATATGAGAAAAGTTGTGTGACTGATACGTTTATTATTGTTTATGTGTAAAAACTTATACTTAAAAAAATGCCAGGTTTAGAAAAAACTTTAATTTTGATATGCTTGTTCGGAAAAACATTATAAACCCAATAGTATTTCACATTTTAGTATTTTAGGATGCTAGTTGTAGCCGCCATACAAATAATTTTGGTATTCAATAATTGCATTGTAACAATACAAAAACACGAGGTCACGGGAAGGAAGTTTTCCATTTTTATTTTAAACTATTGTTGATCTTCTATTCATTTAATGCATTCACTCAATTGACCCGTTCATGTTTATATCTTTTGTAAAATACGGGAAAAATACGTTTTATACGGGAAGTAAGAGTTTTTTTTCCTTTTTAAACGGACCGACATTATTTTTCGTTTTAAACGTGTTTTTTTGCTCAAAAAAACGGTACGTGTTTAAAACGCGTTTAAAACGCAAAAAAAGATTTTAGTGGCTTGAGTGTAAACGCGTTTGTAAATGA